CGCCCGCTTCCCGCTCCCTGGCTTTCCCGCGCGTCCTCCCCGCCGCTGGCGAGCCTCACCCGGGTTGGCCGGCCCGGCGCAGCCCGCATGGGGCGCCTGGGACCCAGGTTCGCCGAGCACGCCTGCCGGGCCTGCCTGCGGGGGAGCGGACACGCAGGGCCGCGAGGGGGCCGGAGCAAAGTCCGTGGCCCAGGGACACCCCGGGTGGAAGAAAGAGCCAGCAAAGCCAAGCCAGCCCCAGTCCCCCACCCCACCCCACCCCCGCCCCGCCCAAGTTCCCCGGCCCGAGCTGAACCTTCACCCTACAGGCTTTCCAGGCCTGGTGCGAGCTACCACGCCCCGCTCGCCTGAGCTGTTGCAGAGGTCAAGCCCCCCCCCCCCAAAAGGCTGCGGATTGTGACCCTCGCACCCCAGCACCCGGCCCTGCGCACGACTGTGAAAGTGCGCTTTCATAAGGCGGAGAGGGCCTTACAACGAGTTGTGCTTTCAAGGCCTGACCTCCTGACCCCAAGACTAGGCTAAAGGGGCTTCTGTGCCAAATCCCCCGGAAAGAACCACCTAGGACCGTAGTGGGGACGACGCAAGCTTTTCAAAGGCCGCCACCCGACCCCGACCCCAGGCACCCGATGACTGGGGCCTGGACATAGCTGGTGCACTATGTCCCTCCTTGGTCGGTTGGCCCAGTATTCTGGCTTGTGAGAATCTGGGCTTAAACAGCAGCTCCTAAGAATCCACCATAAACCGAGACCGGGCTGAAGTAAGCCATACCTGTTGAGGCCCGCTGGGAAGCCAGCGGAGGGTTCAGAGCGGTTCCTTTGACCCGCAGAGTTGATGGTTGAGCAGAAAAACACTTAAACTACCATTTCATCAACTATTCTTAGGATTAAACCCGTTGATGTCCCTCTGGCTGAAGTGGCTTAGCCGGAACCCAGAAACAAAGAGCTGAATGCGAAGGCAGTTTCTCCTAAAGCGCCGCGCTAGTTTGCTAACCAGGTGCCTAAATTAACATGATAAAACTTTCCTCTAACCATAGGTGGTAAATGAAAGTAAAGCCTCTGAAAGATAACCCACGCAGTATAACTTTATTTTTCTACTAACTTTCTACTAACTGGCATAACTTGACACAAACAATTGCGCGTAGGCTTATTGCATACACAAGATTCCCTTTCTATTATTGCCTTTCCCCTTCAATTGGAATGTCTCATAATAAAAGTACATAAATATAAAATCAAACGGCTTCAGTGAATCTTGGTGTTTTTCAATTCTCATTGATTCTAATCATGTGGAAAGCTACGCAAGAGCTCAATATAAGTCATTTACCCTTTAGAGTACGCCCGGATATATCAATAAATTAATGAGTGCAAAATTATTAGGATCAACTAAAATGCTGAAAAGTAGAAAACTGAAAATTCTTACAAAGAGTTGTATAAAGTATTCTGTGTTAGTAAGTAGAAATACTTTCGGTTTCTCCTGTAGAAAACTATGGAACAGACCTCTGCCCTTCGCCCATCACAGACTGCAGTGCTGAACTGTTAGCCTGCGTTTGGAAAAATCCGTGAATCTGTTAAAATAGCAATCCATCTAACAGCAAGGGGAAAAATTACATTTATTAATGTAAACCTGGGCTCAGCGGTTCCATCGACATCAAAATTTATTTATTAACTATTTATCGGCCTTTTCTTCGTTAACTAGCTCTCTAGAAGCATTGCATCAGAAAGTGTGAATTTATGTAGTTCAATTCCCTGTTGCCTTATGCATATCAAATAGCTAACAAAATTATTTACCTTCCATCGGCTTGGGTTTTATGGACCGAGGATAGTTTCCTCTCAGCCCCTAGACCTCACAAATTTGCATGGCTGTTTGAATGGCATATTTACAGATAAGTTTTTATTTGCACAGAAGGACAGAAAGGTGAAGTGAAATTTGGTCCCAATGGAAACCTGATAGCTTCCCTGAACATATGGCTCATTGGGCTGTTACTTCCTTTTTGAGATCATTTTCCAAGATTTTTTTAATATATACATCAATTTGACACCAGTTATAAGGAAAATATATTGGTTTCGAAGATGCCTCCACCTGGGGCATATCTTTTAATAACAAAGCATGTAGTCAGGTGTACCTCGGAATTTACAGGTCTTGGCGAGCAAGGCATACTTTAAATCCAGTTATCACTGACAGCTGATTTACAGTCTTCAAATTGAGTTAGTTCTGTAGGTTCTTAGAAAGCCACCACTAGGATGATTAATGCAGGGTAGGGGTGAGTGCAGAAAACTCCTTTTGGAAGGCCCTGCCCTTGGGATACAGTCTTACAAAGATTTCTCTCTGTAGATACAAATGATGTAAGTCTCCTTCTCTGCAAGTGTGTGGTGCCAGCTTAAGACTTCAGGGGAAAATCACGGCACTGAAAAAGATGTAAATGTTCGATTGGTAGGAAAGGGGGGCACCGTGCTAAAACATGTGCCTGTTTCCATTATGCTTAATTTACTATTCAAGACAAGTTTTTCCTAATAAGCTCTATTGTTTCTTTCTGTTTTGTAAAATTTAGTATGTGTGAGACAAAAACCAGATTCAGAATGTGAATGAAGTCTGTTTAGGGAAAGACTATCGGGGAGATTGTGGTTCAAGAAAGGCCTCAAATGAAAAGAGACATCACCTAACACCACTGATACAAACAGTACTGCCTACTTCCTCCAGCCTCAGAACGCCCCTTAGATGAATTCATACACTCCAAAGTGCACCAAATGCCCAAATGTTCAGAATGACGGCGCCATGTCTTTTTACTACCTAGCTTTAGCTCTTGGTTCATTACAGTCTCCTTCCACGGGCCTTGGATCAACACTAGGAGGAAGGTAAGATCTAGGGCATGTCTATATCTGCGAAAGGTGGAAGTCTTTAAGTCATTCACACCTCTTCAGAGACTCGGCACCTCACTGTGGAATCCCTTCATAGATAACTGGGGCCACAATCGCGCGCGCGCGCACGCACACGCGCGCACACACACACACACACACACACTTCCATTTGAGTATGTCCCCTTGCCATCTAGAAAGCCTAGATAATCTGGAGTGTGTGTCCTTTCTTATTAAAGGCTCTATAATGAATACACTGAAAAACTAACTTACTGATATTGTCTGGAAAGAGTATGTAAATGATGTTGTCACTTAATTCAAAATTGTTTTCACATTAACAATGCCTAAAAGATGGCCCAATTCAATTTTCTTGGTGTCAGAGATGGGGGAAACTATACCCAAAGAGAATAAATGAGTCTCTCAAAGGCACTTAAATTAGCTAGAACTCCAACCAAGGCTCTCTAGACCGTCAAGCTATGATCTTTTTTCCATAAAATCCCTCTCATCTGCGCACACACAAACATACACAAAGTATACTTCCCCTGACTTTATACTGAGTTTCATAAAGAAGCTAAATCCATCCCACAGACTTCTGGTTCAAAGACACTGACAATTGAGCCAGTTGTAGTGAGTAGGGTGGAGAGCCTGGCAGTAGGGTGAGGTTTGCTGTCCAGGTGTTGCGAGTATTGTATTGAGAGTTAGCCACCACCCTGCAGGGGTAGCCACCACCCTGCAAGGGCCTCCGTGTCTCTCTGCTGGAAGGGAGGCGCCGTCATGGCTGAGTGGTGAGCGTTTCTCAGGTTGGCTCGGACGAGCATAAAGTATCGGAATGAACCTTTATCATTTGAGATGCTTCAGGAAGGACAGACCATACAAAGGATTTGTGCCTCTAAAATGCTCAGTTAACCCACACCGTGACTCCCCAACCACGATGCTAACCTCTGCGAATCTGAATTCTGAACCGGGGGTTGGAGTCCCCTTAAGGAAGAAGAAGAAGAAGAAGAAGAAGAAGAAGAAGAAGAAGAAAGCAAAGCAGGATGAGCTCCTGCTCGAAGGAGGCACATTCTGAGAGACCAAATGTGCTCTCCCGCTAAAGGTTGCACGTGGCTCCAGTTGGTCTTCCCTGTCTGTGACGGCCCTGCAGCTCAGGGGGAGGTCTCAGCCTTACATTATCTTCCCTCGGTGTTGGCGAATCAACTCTGAAAACAGATCTCATTAGACAAATAGTCTCTCCATTTGCAGTTGTTAAATAGCACTAAGTGTCAACGAGAAAGGGGCATCCTGTGTGGGTGTATTCATACAATTTCCAGCAATCGGCTTAAAAGGCAGGCTAGCTCACTGGGAATCCAAAGAAGCCAGAAGGGTGACAGAGCTTGCTTGAGAAAGCTCTCCCTAACCAGGGGCTGGGAAAGAAATGTAAGTAGCAGCGGGCTTCCCCTTCCTGCCTAAAGCAACACACACACACACACACACACACACACACAGCCTCACTGCTGTTTGGTATTCTTTTCCATGAGGATTTACTACAGGCATTTTGAAAGCCTTTCCTTGGGCATCTAGAAGACAGTAAATGAGATTTATTATTTCTGGATTAGAACCTTTGATAACTTTCAAAGCAGGTTTTCCTCTGCCCTTCATCTTTAAAGTTTCCAGGCCCCAACTTTGTTTCCTTTCACAATAAACACTAAGGGGTAATACTTCTCTATACAAAGGGTTAGAACATTACCTACAATGCTAACAAGGGTTCTGTTGTGATGGCCAGAGATGTGGCAAGAACCAGTGAACCGACAACCCCAAGGAAGGAATCCTAGTCCCTTTCTTTATAAAGAGGCAACGATGACTCCGCTTTCTCCAAGCTGTCCATCAGAGCTGCCCATCATCTTCTCTACCACACAGTGAACTTGAACAACTATCTCATAGAGGCAACTAATTTTTCAAGGAAAGAGCTGGTAAAAGCATACACGGTGTCAGGAGTGCATCAGAGAATAATCCTTGATGCCTATCAGTATAGCTTCTTCAATAAGGGAGTTGTGCAGATGTAACCAATAAAAACACAGGAAGCTCAATGAAATTTGAATTTTTCTTTTTTATTATTTTTTAGGATAAGTGTGACCCACACCAATTGACAACTCTATTTTTAACATCACATGGACTATAACCATTCCACTCTTAAGAGAGTCTTCCCCTAGGGTCTGGGGAAATAGGTGTGCAATCTGGAATTTTGATTTTGCCTCCCGTTCACCAGACAGCCCGGACCTCTCCGATACAGATGTGCTTAAACAAAGCTCTGTGTTGTTTCCGTAAGAGTTTAAATCATCTCCTACACAGGAAGGTGAGCTTTGAGAGCCTACCTCTCTCCTTCCTTTCAGAGTTCTGAGCATCTTTCTTGTCTCTTTCCTGCTGCCTCAGGTGGTTGGGAGGGACACACCGGAGGAGCCTTCTTGACTCTCACTTCTGACCCCCCCGCTGGAAAGCAAAGCTGAGGCCGAGGGACTGGGTCTGTGAAGAACAGAAAGCCAAGGAGAAGGCCCAAGGTCCTATCCAGTTTGTGAGTGCGGGCTTGAGGGCCGGGTAGGCCTTCCTGAGGCCTGAGCTGGAGGCCTTCTTTAGGCCGGCTGCCCTTCTTTGGGTGAAGCTCAGAGGCTAAGGACCTGGGCTGGAGCGGAGGTGCCCGGGGCCCTTGCAGCCTGGTCGCTGCCAGGCTTCTCTGCACGGCGATTCTTCCCTTCATTTGTTGCATTGTTTGCATTAATATGAATATCTTGTTCTGTTTGTTTTGTCTCCTGGGAGCCAATAAAGCTGTGAGTTTTTTCTTTACACCAAATGCAGCTCTACGGGCGATCAATCAATGGGTAGTCTTCGGATAATCTGTGAGAGTGAGAAATCTAATAAAGCTAGCGACTAAAAAAGGAAAAACCAGATCTATTTTTCTCTTGGGTTAACTACGTCAGGATCAGTGCGCTCCACTTCCGCTGCTTGAGGTGGGTTAAACTTTAAATGTCGAGGTGGGAGGGAGGAGAACAGAGGGGGACTAAGGAAAGAGGGCCTCGGGACTATCAGGGATTCTGAGGTTGGTGGGTTATTGCGGGAGGGAAAGTCCGTTCTTTCTAAAGTCACAGAAAATGAGAGAGATGTCGGGGTCTAATAAAATACACTCCTCCAGCGAGAGTCTCTGGCAGCTTCCCAAAGCGAAAGGAAATGTACATTGATAATGAAGTCAACTAAACAATGAGAAGTCAAGTGTCCCTGCCCCTCGCCCTGGTTCACCAAACTCAACACACCAGATCGTTCTCTGGGAGGTGCTCCGCTGTCCTTGGCAAGACAGGAAAGCTCAGAATCGGCCTGGGCCGCCACCGTGATCCTCACAGCACAATGCAACCCAAATCATTTATAAACAGACCAAAATAACTATTCGAATTATCTAATATTAACAGCTGAACGGATGAGCCCAAGATTATGTGACGAATTGTTAAATCGCAGAAGCATTGTTTTGGATTGCTAATTAAAAAAAAAAAATAAGCAAACCCCATGACTCTAGATATGACAACTGAAAATACCCACAAATTATTTAATAAATGAAGCATCTAACAACTTTAACACTTCCTGGTCGCCTTGTTAATAAATGTAATTTGAGGTAGATTTTAAAAATCTTCCATCTAAACAGTGAATTCATTATGCGCCATTCAGCTCTCTGGATGCCTATGGACTTCTTGGAATTAGGTGTTAAACAGACAAAGTGAACCAAACTGCCTTTAAAAGCACAGCATGACCATGTAATTCTTTTTCCAGTTTGTGGTAAAAAATGATGAAACTTCTTTCCAAGTAGCTATCACCCAGATTTAGTGTGAAAAGTAGTGTAATTGTAATTCACGCCATCAGGGTCTATCGCTGATAGACGATCAGCTGTTCTGTGGTGGGAGAGGCTTTCTTTTCAAATAGGAAAGCTGCCAAGTGCTCCGCGATACCTCCAGCTAGCTTATCGGATTGAGTTCAGAGCCAAAACAGCAGCTGCACACATATGCAAATTGGCAATTAATAGTATAACATTCTGCAAAAAAAAAAAAAAATGTTTAAAAAAATTTTAAAGAAAATAGAAAGAGCTACCTGCACATTAACCTTCCCTGTAACTGGGACTTCTAAGATGAATGACTAAGGATTAATTACCCTCTGGAGAGGGCTGGCTCTTTATTGCCTTCTCTTCTGTAGATCAAGTCTTTGTTGTCTCTCCGAGTTTTGCCTGCTTCGTGGAACACAATGGGCTCTGAAACAAGAAGTTTAAAAATAACTTTAAAAAAGACCTTATGCATTCGATTCCAGGAAAGACATGAAGTCGTTCCCACTGACCGTTCCTTCCATACGCAGCGATCACAAAGCAAGGGCTTTCGCATCCTTGTGAAGTGACATTTTGTTCCTGGTGTTAGCTCCTTCCACCCCAGCTTGCAGTGGGGACACACTTCACATCCCGGGGTGCTGCTTGCCTCCCTTGATTTCTGTCTGTCTCTTCCCCCCACTGACAGCAGTGCCATTCCTATGCTTCACACAGCAGTTTGCAGCAATCCAGCAAGGTTTATGGGTTATGTTGCCCAGCGTGTATAAACACAACACTCAATGTTTCTTAAAAAACCAATTTGTTAAATTTTGTATCGCCCCTGTTTCCACACCCCAATGCCTCTCTCTCTCTCTCTCTCTCTCTCTCTCTCTCTCTCTCTCTCTCACACACACACACACACACACACACACACACACACAACATTGTTTTTCCCTGAAAAAATGATACTGTAGTCGTGACTAGAATGAGGTCTGCAACCTAAGCCCCTTCAAAGGGCCTGCCATTCCTCACAGCAGGCTTTCCCCCTGAACACGGAAAGTCTTCCCTCCATGCTCCAATCTTCATTCTGAGTCTCTCTTCTAGGGTGAGAAAGGAGTGGCTAACCAGTGTATCTGTGAATTTCCCCCCACTACTAGCAGTTGAACCCAGGGGTTCAGTCACGTGAGTCAAGCACTGTACCCCAGAACCACATCCCCCACAGCTTGTGGATTCTAACACTTCTGTGGCTGAAGATCTCCTTGTTTGTGGGATGTTCTGGGTCCTTGGCATTTCCAAGTTCTAGGAGTTCAGAACTCGGGTCAAAATCCTGATTGCCCTTAGTATTAAAGGAGAGAAAGTTTTATCTCTCTTATTTCCCTGGCTGTTAAGAGGTGGGGCTGTGTCCTCCCCGACTGTAACATGCAGAGCAGACTTGAAATCATCCTTTCTCTGATGAGCACCTGTGCTTCTGCACACCGTTTTGTCGCAGATGAACGGTGTCTCTGCTCTACAAATACCTCTCTTCTTACATTCTATGGACACTTCTAGTCTGAGACAAATTTTGGGTTACTGATATTCCAATCAAAAGGATACCGCACACTTTCATTGCTAAGACAGACTTTGAGCTTAGATGTTAACATTTTTATAGGAAATACTCATGTAAAATGTCAATGTATCTGTTTACATTTTCTAGAAAAATATTTGGGATGCTGAGATATTAAGCACTGAAGGCAATGTGGGACATAGACCTGTTTTCCCCTCTGAAGAAACCATCTCTGAACCAGTCCAATGCAGTGTTTTAGATATGATTACCTTTCTCTGATCTCAGCAGAAGTATTCTATGTCCAGAAGACTAAAATGTATAGGAAGAAAATGATCTTACCGAGCTTAACTTCTAGCATAAGTATTGTTTTTCTTAACTTGTGATCCAATTTGAAGGCATTGTTAGGCTTTTCAGTTTTCTTATGATTAAATGAAGAAAGGTTTAAAAAGCGAGAAAGTCATTGAAAAGTTGCTTTTGAATAAAACAGAAAAATGGGATTGCCAACTTTCTCTATAACTTCATTAGCATGGCAGTATATACATTTGCATGTAAAATGTAGTTAACAAAAATTACACAGAGGTAAATTTAGTCCCCTTGTGCCTACCTCCATGGTGAAATCAGACCATTTGGCATAGTGTGAAGTCTTCCAAGAAGCCTGGTTTCCACCTGGAAAATAAATTACTAAATTTGAATGTGTTACTTATATTATGGTGAGTTGTCTATCTGTTACATTTTATTTTAGTTCATATACTAGAAGTTGTATTTAGAATGTTCTAAAATTGTCATCTGTCAAGGTAGAGAATTATAATAATATAATTATATACAGAAAAAGTGTCTGACTTTAGATTGTTTTGATGCTGTTGCAATTATCATATACTTTTTAAAATTCAGAATGTTTATCATAAATTCATAGGTTTAATTATCAGACTTTGGCAGTAATTTAGATTAGCCATAGCAAAGTTATTCCCTCCCGTCCTCTTCTGGGTGCTGAGGACTGAACTCAGGGCTTCGCACAGGCTGTGTGCTTACCATTGACCTATATCCCTCCCCAGTGTCCTTCACATTTACAGATATATAGAAAATACCTTTACATGCAGAGTGTAGCAGTATCTACCTGTATCCATTGCTTTGTTCTCAAATAATACTTAAAATATTTCAACTGAAATCATTCAGATCACTATTGCATTCTCAATTCACCAGTATATCTTGGTGTTGTAAATGATTTAAAAAAAAAAATTGACTCCAAGTTATAAAGACCTCTTTGAGGATGGATATGGTAGCACACATCCATGATGTCTGTACTGGAGAGACAAAGGCAAGAGGAACCAAAGTTCCAGGCCAGCCTGGGCTACATGGTGAGGCCCTGCCTCAAAAAAGTAGGTCATTTTGAGTAGTGAAAGTCTATGTTGTTTACCCTCAAGCATCATAATGACATTATTGGTGAGATGTCACAACTGGTGAAGACGACACTCAGTGAATTTCTCAAGAAAGAAAGATACCATCACTTTCCGATGACGAAGAGGGAGGAGGTATAGTGGGGGACCATGGCTTAGTAAACAGCCATTGCCACGGCTCACGGAAAGAAGATGTACAAGTTCTTCATCATCTCAAAGGATAGTGAGTTAATCTCCTGCTACAAGCCAGTTTCTCTTCTGAACTATATATTCTGCAAGTAGAATTAACCAGAACAGGTGTGGTGTTGGCATTCTGTACTCCTATGCAGAAACTATATAACCCACTACACTGTGCCAAATATGTTCAATTATTATACTACCTTCACAATAGTTATAATTCTTCTGTTTGTCATTTCAAAGCTTCTGACGGGCTCTGTGAATGCAGGTGAATATATCATGGATACGACCTTCTGTGTGAGTGAAAGGGAGAAAAAAAAATCCTGATTCCTATTTAAAGGTGCTACAGTTGAACAATATGGTGTTAAAAATATTTTCTTCTGCACAAGGCATTTGTTTTAAGGAATATATCTGCAGGATTCATGACACAACTAGACAGTAAAGTAAATGAAGATCCGTTACTTAATATGATAAAGGAGGATTAGCTTAGAAAATCACACCCCTAGGAAACTTAATAGTGGACTATTAGACTAAGAGGCAACAGTAGAAAAAAAATAATGTCTTAGTTAAACCCTTTTTCTGTGGTAGACACTTCCCCTACATTTCCTAATTCCATTTTAATAGCCACCTTAGGTTTAAATCACATGGCTATCGAGGAATGAGTCCCTGTGCCTCCAGGGACCATGGACAGCCTTATCACGTGCTGCAGTTCCACTGTGGTCACTGAAGTACAGAGATTGGAGGAGGTTTGAAAACTCTTTTCCTATTCCACAAATTTTACAGCACAGTCGAGGTCCATTTGATTAGGAAATATTCCCACGACTAGAAACAGCACTGCTTTGGCACATGCATGAAGACGAGCGATCTACACATCCATCCTCAAATTTAGCAATTCGAAGCAGTTAGCTATGCGGACAGTTTTGTATGCATTGCTAAATGCAGACACAAAAACTGCATTTGCAAAAAGAGGAAACCCAGTTAAACTAGGTTGCAAATTTGGCCCTAATTTAGCGTAGCATTTGTGATACATATAGGTTAGAGTGACATTTATATAATGGTGTGAAATATGAGAAAGCTCCAATGCTAGACACAAAGACTTTGACGATTGCTTTTGCCTACTTTGGTTAGTTTCAGAAACAGGAGGGAGAATTTGGTTTTTCAAGTGATGGGAAGCCTTTAAGGATGTTGGAACACTGTTCAGTCCCCTGGGGTTCTGCCTGCTGTACAATTTTAAATGTCTTTTAGTTAAAAAATTGGCCAACAAGGGAAACATCGAGATGAAATCTCTTCTTACTTAGCTGGAAAGTGAGAAACTATAGGGGGCTAGACAATCTAATTGTGATAGATATGTGGTCAGCTCCGGGGGTCAAAAAGCCTACAAGGCTTCTACGTAACAGTAGTTAATACATCTACCCAACTGGAGAAGCTACATGCATATTATAATTCATTTGGGAGAGTCTGTCCTTATGCTTGGTTGTAGACAAGATATATAGCCAGAAGTGAGACTAGATAAATACACCACATTTCACACAGACGCTGCCATCCCGGTACCTGACGCGCTCCATCTCCCCGCTGGAGGCCACTGGAGGGCAGTATTTTCTCCTCTGGGAACAGCACCTGGTCTTTGGACCAGCTCCCAAGAGATGGATGAGTGGGCCCTTGTCCTTAGACTGTTTGGGCTTTACCACTCCTGTTTACATGTCATGGAAGTTATTGCTGATACTACATCGCCAGCCAAACCACTTGTGTCTAAGACCAGACTCCAATAGAAGATCCTGTACAATAGTTACTATTTAAGAGACTTTTAAAGCTATTAATTAATCATCTGAGCACTATGTAAAATTGATTTTGTTAATTTAAGTGGGACATGAAAGAAGATGTCTAACCAAGAGTGAGTAATGTTTGCTAGAGGCTTGGCATTTGACAACTTCAATATTTCATTAAGTTTACAGAGTCAATCCTTGTATTATATTTAACATGTATATATGCTTTAAACTATTAAGTCGGCATTTTCTAGAAATAACATTATGAGAAATTTCCTCGAAGATATTCCTCATTCTTTATCATGCACTTTGCTTCCTATCCCTAGCATCATAATGTAGGAAAATATTTGGATTTTTTTTTTTTTATTTTAAAGAAAAAAAAATCCGGCACTTTAGCACATATCTGTAATCCCAGCACTTGGAAGTGGAAGCAGGAGGATCAGGAATTCAGGGTCATCCTTTCTACATAGCATGTTCAAGCCCAACCTGGACTACATGAGCCACTGCCTCAGAGATTAAATAAATAGGTAAATAATCTGTTGTTTGGGGTTAAATTATAAAATTGTACTTGTAGGTTTTGTTTAAAAATGAAACTAGAATTATGACTATAATCTGGTAGGTATGGGGTATAGGATAATTAATTTAACCTCTACTTAAAGGCATATAGTGATAACTGAATTGTTTTCATTTTCATTATAACAGCCATTTGTATAATTTCTTAATTGAAAATACCATTTATTTTGTATTTGTAGCTTTTTCCAAACCAAAGATTGCTAATTTTTTGTAAAATCAACATACAGTTTTTAATCTGATGTTTTATTTTGTTTCATTTTTTAAAATAAAGTGCCTAGATGCTTGGCTGGTACTTTGCCAACATACGGCAAAGCATCCAGTCACTTGAGGAAAAAACATACATCTCAATGTCTATGCCACATGGTTTAAATTTTTTAATTTTTAACATTTTTATTATAAAAGTAATACATATTCATTGTGGAAATTATAGAAATAATGACAGTTATAAAATATACCAAAACATTACCTGATACCTCATAAATATGTACAATATTTACATGTAAGTTAAAAATAAAGAAATAAAATAATAATCACACATTATCTTGTTTTAACTATGGTTAATAAAGTTCATCCATGTTGCACATTATCTTTCTTTCCATGGTGTGCTTGTGTGTGTGTTTTGAGGATCGACCTAGGACCCAAACAAGCTAGGCAAGTGGCCTGCCATCAGTACCATACACACACAGCCCACCTAATTTTCCTGTGCTGTAAACAGTGCCGTGATAAGCTGTTTTGTAAACAAATATTTAGATACATCTGTAATGTATCTCTTTTATATGATTTTTCTAAATTTAGAATTTCAAACATTAAATTGTCTATTTTACCTGCTTCAGTACATAAACTGAAGAGTCTTCCAAAAACAGAAGTGGATGTGAATGCCCGTGTATTCACATCTTCATCAGCACTAAATGTCATCAGGGTTAGCCTTCTGCAAACTGATAGCTGAAAAAAGGATGTTCCTTTGCATTTTGTTGCTTTATGTGGAAAAAAAACCCCAACAACAACAACAAAAAAAAACAGTGCCATATAGTCATTTGGTAATAATGATGTTTTAACAAATCCGGTGCAAATTTTGGTTTATTACATGAAGTGAGAGTTTGATTATCTTTTCAGTTGTTAGTTGATTGTTTCTGCGTGGTTTTTGAATGGCACATTTCTGTCCAACTGATTTAAAAAGACATCACAATCCAACCGAAAGCTTTTATGGTTCAGGGTCTGCTCCTGAGCTGAATTTCTGTTCCACCAAGTTCTCTTTCCTTCCGCCTCTGCCACAGTCTGAATTACCCACTTTTCCATCTAATGTTGACAGTCCTCCTTAAGCAGTTTTCCAAAATTTGTCACTCTTGACTCTTCTCTCATGCACTGCAGAATGACTTTACTAAGTTAAAAAGATTCACTTGAGAACATATGTTTGGGTATGGAAAAATGCCCAAGATATATTAAGTGAAGAACAGTATGTATAACATCATTTCTCATAATGTTAAAGAGGCAGAAAAAGGAGAGAGTGTTCGTGTCCCTGTGCGTGTGAGTATCTGCCTTACGGACGTTATGTGAGTATGTGCCTTATGGATGCCTACAGAAGTTTTTGGGAAATGACCAAAAATATCATTAGCAATGTTTATCATTAGCAATAATCAGTGGGAATGAATATTATACAGAGAAGAGGAACTTTTGCTTTTGACTATAAAGTCTCTTTACACACTTTAAGTTTTCTGCCATGATAAAGCATTCATTTTACAAGTTTTAACAGGTCTTTTAAAAGCCGGAGCTTGCTGGGCATTGTAGTATATGCCTTTAGTCCCAGCACC